CTCCTCCTCCTCCTCCTCCTCCTCCTCCTCCTCGGCTCGGTGACGATGGGTAATCAAATCGGCGACGATGGGCAATCGAATCGCCTCGGCGGGGGGCGCGCGGCCTCGGCGTGCCCGCCGCGGGCGTGTCGGGAGCCCGGGGGGGGGTCCGGAGGAGGCCTGGCTGCCGCCGGCTGCGCCAGGCGCCGGAGGCGACGGCCCCCTCCCTCCGGGGTGGTTGCCGGCGTGGTGAGGCCAGGGGAGGGGGAGAGGGAGAGGGAGGGAGAGAGAGGGAGAGAAAGAGGGAGGGAGAGAGAGGGAGAGGGAGGGAGGGAGAGGGAGAGAGAGAGAGAGATAGAGAGGCAACAACAAAAAAGAGGGAGAGGTGCAAAGAGGCGGGGGTGCAGAATGCGCCGAGTGGCCTGTCCCGAGACCCTCGAAGCGCTGCAGGAAGCCCACATTGCCAACATGTAAGTTGACTACCTGCCAGACCACCCCAACCCAACCCGAAGACCCGAATTTCGGGTCGGGGGGGTACGGGCTTCACATGTGTGTTTTCAATGCCCCCCGACCCCCCCACACTCGAAATGGAGGGCAAATCGGGGCCTTCGGGTTGGGTTGGGGTGGTTTGGTGGTCGGTGATAGATTGTCCTGGGGGCCCGTGCTGCAGCTGTCTTGTGGGTCTCTTGGGCCGCCCTGGGGGCCCTCGGCGCCTTCCCAGGAGCCCAACGCCGCTGACCAGCGCTGGGTTTTGCGCGTGACTGCGGCGCAACCCGAGTCTCTTCGCGACGCGCACTGGACTGGGCTGGCCGCTCTCCCGTGGGCCGTTTGAATCTCCACTTCCGAGAGCGCAGCCCATGGCGCAACAGCTGGCCGGCCGGCTCAGTTTCGACGACCGCATGCGCAGCCTCATGGCGTAACCAATCGTAGGCCGCGTCAGGTTCGGCCCCGTGGGTCCCGCATGGTTCTGGGCCACCGAGGGCGCTAACCTGTGGCAGAACCCTGGGTAAGCAGCTTTATGCTTAGCCGCCGAGTGCGCAGCCTCTGGCACAACAAAGATCAAACCAGCCGAGTGCGCAACGCTGCACACACCCAACGGATACCGCAAAATAGAGCGCCACGGATGGATCCATGGCGCAACCTACCGATGGCGCAACCTACCGATGGCGCAACCCGTGCGTCGCGCAACCCACGCAACCTACAGATGGCGCAAGCCTTGGCGCAATCCACGAACCGCGCAACCCGTGGCACAACCCATGGCACAGCCACTGGACGGCGAAAGCCATGGCGCGACCTGTGGCGCATTCCACGGACGGGTCGCCCTGGCGCGACCCGTGGCGCGACCCGTGGCGCGATCCGTGGCGCGTCGCCGTCCCTGGCGCGACCTGTGGCGCGCCAGACATGGCGCAACCCATGCATCGTGCAGTCTATGGCACAACCCATGGATTACGAAATCTATGAGAAGAGCAACTCTCGTGTGGGGAGGAAGGGGTGGAGAGGAAGAAGGGAATGAGCAAACTCATCCAAATGCAATGAACACTACCTTCATCCGCCTGCGGGTAAGGATACCCTCATGCGTCCCAACTCCATCCTCCAAACCCGAAAATTGTCTTCCTGAACCTAATTATGAAGCTGTCCGTGTATCGCACCACTCACGACGCACCACATGGGTGTGGCATGCATCCGAGGCGATGTCTGAAGGGCTACGCCCGATGTATGCTCGCCACCCGGGTCCCGTGCGGCCAGCCACCTTCTGATTTGGGCTCCTCGTTGAGCCGTCTGGAGGAACTCGTTGGCCCTCTCGGGGGCATCAGCTCTGTGGCAACGCATGGGAGCCTCCCACACCAACTTGTTGGCTCTTGCGAAATCAACACGGGTCGACGCCAAATCGACGCTAATCGACGCCAAATCGACGCTAATCGACGCTGGCCGACGCAAACGTCGGCGCTATCTCATCGACTCTCAGACGCTAATCGACGATCGTCGACGCTAGAAATGAAATTGAGAGGGTATGCCAGGCTCCCATGATTTGCTGCTGAACATCTAGAGGCCTCCTAGATGGGGTCGGAGTTGATGGGGTCGGAGGATCGCGCCGCATCGGCGATGCATCGGCAATGCATCGGCGATGCATCAGCGACGTCGGCAATGCATCGGCGACGTCCGCGTGAAAGAAATCGAGCTCCGCATCGAGCCGAGTCGGCGATGCATCGGCGCTGCGGCGCGATCCGCCGACCCCATCTACTCGGACCCCATCTGAGAGGCCCAGAACATCAGGGTCCCCTCGGAACTCCCGCGCCGCGGCCATCGCACAGCGGGGGCCCCATGGCGCGGTGGACCCCCTGCAGAGGGACGGGCCTCCGCGCCGAGCCCGCTCCGAAGAGGCCCTGGGACCAGGCAGGGGCCGCCCGAAGCCCTGCGTCGGCAGTTTGGTGCGCCACGCGAGGAGGCCAAAAGGGCCCACTCGAACAGCGCCGGCGGCGGCGGCGTGGGCCGGCGCGCCGAGCAGGGTGTGGTGCCACCCGCCGTGCCGGCAACATTGAAGGGGCCCCAGGACACACAAATAAATACACACAAATAAAAATATTCCCCATATTTTCCAATATTTTTTGAATTTTCGTCTTCCCCCCCACTTCCCATATTTTCCTACATTTTCTGGGAAATCGACGATTAATTGTGTCTGTGTGTTTCTTTCCCTCCTGAAACATGTCAGCACCGCGCACCTGCCGACCCGCAGGCGGAGGAACACCGCGGCGCGATTGGCGCCACGCGGCGCACGGCTGCGGGGGCCGCCCGCAGCGGGGCCCCTGGAGGGCGGCTGGGATTGAGCGTTGCGTAATAGGGGGGTCATAAATGGGGGGGTGGCGAGGGTGGTCCGAAAAGGTACCCAAACGGTGCCTAAACGAGCCCCCTGGGGCTCCGGAGGGGCCCGAAAGGGGCACGAAAGGGGACCGTTTCTGACCCCCCATTTCTGACCCCCCCATGAAGCCACGCCCAGTGGGAGCCGTGGAAAAAGGGGCCGGGTGCGCAGGAATCGGTCTGCACCACACGCGGGGCGGCGGCACGGTGGCGTGATACAGTGGCGCGACGCGGCGACACGGCACACACGGCGGCACGGTGGCGTGATACACTGGCGCGACGCAACGGCACGGCGCACGACGCACCCTGGCTAAAAGCGATGTGAGCAGCCCCCGGCCTGCGCTGGGACACGCGCCCTGCCCCGCGCGGCCCGGGCCCCACACCACCACGGCCAGGTCCGATCTCGGGCACGGTCTCCTCCAGAGGTGAAACTCAGCGGCGGCCTCTCGTCGGCGGCGAGCCTGGGGGGGAAGTGAGGAGGAGAAGGCCTTCTCAGAAGGCTCGAGGGTCCCCTGGCCTTCTGAGCAGTTTCCTGAGCCTTCCGCGGAGACACTGAACACTTCTCAGAAGGCGCGAGGGCTTCTGAGAAGTCCCGTCGCCCTCTGAGAAGGCCCTGTCCTTCTCATTTCCCTCCCTCGCTCGCCACCGATCTCGGGAGCGTCGCAAAATTTACGAGCGGATGCTGTCTGACTTGCATGCCGTACGCCGCTTGCCGGGTCGGCCCACGGCGTCAGGCAAGCGGATGCAGATTAGCCGCTAGCCGACCCCAGCGCGGACGAAGACAACGCTCAGCGCCTGCACGGAGACCGCGCCGCTGCTCTCCCGGACCACCGGGCTGAAGTCCGGAATGCTGCCGGAGTCGCTCAGGCTGAGGCTGGCAAATGTATCGGCCAGAACTTGCCCGTTCACGGACACGCGGGTGCCAGAGATATTCGGCAGGTCTGGCGAAGAGACATGGTACTCCTCTCGTGTGGCCACGCCGCTTCCCAGGCTGAGCTCCACGTCGGCCGCCTCGGAGCCGAAGTTGATGAGCACCGCTGTGACTCTCTGACTGGCTGCGATCTCGCGGTGGGCATAGGCTCGCACGGAGCTCGGCACATTCGCGCCCGTTACCTCCAGAACCTCTTGCCCCATGAGCCGCCTCCAAAGCAGGCCGACCCAGAGTTCTGGGGCGAGGGCACCCTCGTGCGTCAGCTCACCCCACTCCTGCCTCGCAACTACGCTGTGTCCCAAGCGCGCCGCCACGCCGAGCTTGTCCGCAGTCCAGAAGACACCGATGAATTTCCCAATCACGCTTTCAGAATTCTGGCAACTGCCGCCGACGCCAGACGTTTCCCCCATCCAGAGCATCGGCGGCTCCTGTGCCGAACTCGAGCCCGCGTAGGCCGAAAATACCGCCTTGTACTTCGCTGCATAATCCTCGTAACTCTCGTAAGTGCTAGCCTCAAGGAAGACCGACGGATCAGCAACGCTAGCCGCACCCGCGACATAATAGTGGTGCCACGTGGCGACGTTGACGCTAGCAGCGCCAAGACTCTGCAGAGCCTCACCGAAGAATCCCGAGCCATCTTTCGTAGTGTCGAAGCTGCAAATCCAAGGCGAAGCCGCCGTCCCGGCCCCAACGCTGCCGTACACCGTGGACATTGCTGTGCTGAGCGCATCGAGCGCGGCGGCCGCCTGCTGTGGCGTCGTGCCCTTCTTGCCGAGGTTGGGCTCGTTGCCGAGCTCCCAGCCGACTACATCGTACCCCTGCCCTTTCGTGTACGCCATCAGCTCGAGAGCACGCGCTGGGTCGTATGAGCTCGACCGCGCAGTGTCGCTCCAGCCGTCGTAGATGTTGAGACCGAACACGATGCTCCAACCAGCGGCGCTCGCGAATCCGCCAGCCCCCTGTCTCGCCAGCAAGCTGTGAATCGTGATGTGGCGCTCCGATTATGAAGGGGCCCTGGGACACACAAATAAATACACACAAATAAACATATGCCCCATATTTTCCTATATTTTCTGTGTTTTTGTCTTCCCTCCCACTTCCCATATTTTCGCATATTGTCTGGGGAATCGCCGATTAATTGTGTCTGTGTGTTTCTTTCCCTCCTGAGATTACTCGATCAGTGCTGCTGCAGCAGTCGGCGCGCTTCGGCAATGGTGCGCAGACAGCAGCCCCCGCAGGGTCCCATCCGCCCCCCCCCCGTATAATGTTGCGCAGCGGGCCCCACTCCCTACCCATCCCCGAGTGAGAAAAGCAAGACTAAACTATAATCATCCCTAGAATTCCCGCTGAAACCCCACAGCACCTTGTGAGAAGCATACCCTCGCTTGCAGGGCCGCGATCCCTGGGGCAGTATGAGTGGTCCTCGGTCCAGGGAGAAGACCGCGTGTACCATGCAGGTTGGTTTCGCGCCTGATCCCCACACGGAACAGCCACGGGTCAACCCATGCGACAACCACGGGACGAGCCACGGGACAACCGACAGGACAACCCACAGAACAACCTACGAGGCAACCCAGGGGGACAACCACGGCACGAACAGCGATGCAACCCCTTAGGCTCCCACGACGCACGCGGGACAGCGTTGGCCCGACGCGGTTCTAGCCTCCTCGGTCGACACACAGTCGGACCTGCGCAGCTCCGCCCTTCTGGCAAGCACACAACACGAGCCGAAACCGAGACCGGCTTCTGGGTTGGGCTCACATTCACATTGTTCTCACCCCCCGCCTCCTCCTCCTCCTCCTCCTCCTCGTCCTCTTCCTCCTCCTCCTCCTCCTCCTCCTCCTCCTCCTCCTCGCCCTCCTCCTCATGCATATGCTGGGGCATGTGTGCGCGGAGGAACAGGATGCGGAAGCAGAGTGGCGGCTGCCCTTCCCGACACTGCGTTCCTATGAAGCTTGGCAGCATGCGCGCAAGCGCGCGGGCAAGCTGGCAAGCAGGCAAGCCGACCATGTACAAGCGGACGTGCAAGTCCAGACTGGCGAGCAGAGCAAGCAAGAGAGCCAGCCACCCAACGGGCAGGCAGAGGAGCACCATCGGGCACGCAGGCGCCGGCAAGCAAGCAAGCAAGGAGGCCAGCCCGCAAGCAGCCGCCACGGGGCAAGCAAGGCCAGCAAGCAAGCCTGCAAGCAAGCACCCCAGAGACCGAGGAAGAGCACCTCTTGCAGACGAGCCGCGTCTCGCGGCGGCAGCCCCCAGGGCACGTTACTGAAGGGGCCCCAGGACACACACATAAGTACACACAAATAGAAAGATTCCCCATATGTTCCCATATTTTCTGGGTTGTTGTCTTCCCCCCACTCCCTATAGTTTCCCATATTTTCTGGGGAATCGACGATTCACTGTGTCTGTGTGTTCCTTTTCCTCCTGAGTTACGCCCTGCAAGCGGCCGGCGTGTCGCCCCGCTCCCCGGGGTTGGAGGGGCAGGAAGGGGCCCGGACGTTGCCGCGTGGGCAGCGCGTCGCGCCGAAGCGTGGCAGGCCAGAGCCGGCGGCGCGACACGGCACGCCCGAGCACTTCGCAGCCGTGCTGGCCCCAGCTGCCACCACGACTGTCTCCTCACCGGCTGGGCGAGCGCACGGTCCACCAGCGCGGCCAGACTGCGGCGCAGCACGTGGCTGCACGGGCAAATGCGACGGCTCTGCGGACGGCGGTGGCTCGCCAGAGGCGTCCCGGATGAGTTGACATCGTCCCACAACGCTCGTGTCATGGTCGAGTGCGGAATGTTGACCGTCGGGTTTGCAGGCTCTGGCACATAAGGAGGATGGACAGCGGGGTCAGACATGTCGTACGTGACGTTGTCCTGGGCCGTGCCTCCGATGCGGAGAAACGCGGGACTGTATGCCGTTGCCATTGCGAGCTGCTTCGGGTCCGTGAAATCTATGCCTTTCCATCCACCCCAGCGGATGCGCCAGATGTCGAGGGTGTGCGACACGAAACCCTCGCTCACAGTAAAAACCGCCTCGCTGCCCACCGAAATCTTGACACCCGTTCCCGAAGGAGCCGGCGTTGGGCTGAGCAGCGTGCACGGTGCCCAAGTGGCAGAGCAGCTCTTCTTGCACTGCGCGTATGCGTCGCCCCGCCTTTGGTAGCAAGCGTACTCGTCGCCCGTGCAGCACTTCGACGTCATGCAGTTTCCAAAGTTGGCAGTGCAGCCGCTGCCAGCAGAGCCGGCGCCGGCCGAGTGGTCCAGACTGTCGCCGCTCGCCAGCGCAGTCGTCGACTCGTCCGAGCTGTCGCCAACCGCCTGGCTCGTCGTCGACACCGCCTGGGCGGCGGCGTCGACCTGCCTGGCTTTCAGGGCGAAGACGACCGAGGAAGAAAAAGCGCATTCTTGATAGAAGGCTTGCGGGGGCCCGCGCGGACTTCAAGGATCGGCACCTGGCACGCCCTCCTGGCGGGCGGAGCGCGCCAGCGGACCTCCTGCAAGTGTGCGTCGACAGCGCGGCGGGATCGGCAGTACGCGCGGTAAGGATGCGGGGCCCTCGGCCGCGCAAGGTGAGGTCGAAGTTGGGGGCCCACGGTCGAGAGGCAAGGATGCACGGGCGCCCTCGGGAAGCTGCTCGTCCGCACGAGGCAGCTTGCCCGTGTGTGTGGCACTCTGTGGTGGGGCCGAGCGATGCCGCTATACCGCTACCCTTCGGTCGGGCGTCCTCCTACAGGGGGATTTGGGACGA